CTCTCTGTCTCTCATGAATAAAATAAAATCTTTAAAATAAAAAAAACAATATATTTAATTGTCTCCTTCACTTAGAGAGAGGACCAAAACTAGAATCTATTCAAGGGCAGTGGTTAAAGGCTTGACTGGATGGTTAAAGACTTGGAGAAAACATAACTGGATATATGACAAAGTCCAGGGAAGGAGCAAAGTGAATGGAGTCCTAACATTGTACACAAAGAGTGAACATTGTGTCCCATGTGATTATTCACAAAAGGCATCTACTTGTAGAAGAGAATCTCAACAATGAGATGGACAAGATAATACATTCTGGAAATAAGTCTCTTTCCCTTGCAAACCCAGTGCTTACTTTCGTGTAAAAATGGCCATATGGGAAGAAAGAAAGTTTTGTACGGGCTCAGCAACATGGAATTCTCACCACAGCTGTTTTGGATACCTCCATTGTGCAAGGTTTAATCTATCAACCACAAAGTCAAAGTTGAGTCCAAATATGGACTAGCCAACTACTTAGTGGCAGGTCTATTACATAAGACTGGCTCTATTCATGAAGGGGGAGGCAATCATATTCTTAGAATGGCATTATGGAAAACCTGTTCACCACTACTGCATTCCACACATTTTCTGTTCAAGAAACTCATTTCATAGCAAAATAGGTTCAGCAAATGGGCTTATGCCCATGTCTTTCACAATATCATCATATACCTCTCAGAGAAAACAGAAAAAAGAACACTTTCCAATGCATTCTATGAAGCCAGCAACATCATCTGAATACCAGAACCTGACATTAAGAAAGAAAATTTTTAGGGGTGCCTGGGTGGCTCAGATGGTTTAGCGTCTGCCTTCGGCTCAGGTCATGATCCCAGGGTCCTGGGATCAAGCCCCGCATCGGGCTCCTGGCTCAGCGGGGAGCCTGCTTCTCCCTCTCCCTCTGCCTCTCTCCCTGCTCATGCTCTCTCTCTCTGTGTATCTCTCTGTCTCAAATGAATAAATAAAATCTTTAAAAAAAAAAAAAAGAAAATTTTTAGATCAATCTCACTGCCCCCCCAAAAATAACAGAAAATCCTAAACAAAAAACATTAGCAAACCAAACCTAGTATCATATAAAGAGGATCTAATATATCACATTAAAGTTAGGCTTATTCTGAGATTACAAGGTCTGTTTAATATTTAAAAATGTAATTCACATTTATAAAATAAAAGAACATTTTAATAAAACATCCATTCATGATTTTTTTTAAAAAAGCTCTTAAGAATAGAAGGAAACTTCCTTAATCTGTAGAGTATCCTTTTTTTTTTTTTAAATTTACAGGAAGCCTCATGTTGGTAAAATATTCTAAGTTTCCACTATGAGATTAGGAATAAGACAAGAATATTCACCAGTATCAATTCTAAACATTATTGTATTAGAGTTCTTATTCTTAGCCACTACAAAAAAAATGTTAAAAAAAAGGCTTAGAGATTACAAAGGAAGAAATAAAACTGATTTTGTAGAGAAAATTCAAAAGAATCTACAGATAAATTTTTAACTCATATATGGGGTGCCTGGGTGGCTCAGTTGGTTAAGCGACTTCCTTCGGCTCAGGTCATGATCCTGGAGCCCCAGGATCGAGTCCTGTATTGGGCTCCCTGCTCAGCAGGGAGTCGGAGTCTGCTTCTCCCTCTCCCCTCTTGTGCTCTTTCTCTCATTCTCTCTCAAATAAATAAATAAAACCATTTAAAAAAAAGCTTTAATAAAAAAAAATTTTTTAACACATATGATAGTTCAGCAAGTCTCTAGGTATACAGTCAAGTATATTTCTGTATACCAAAAAGAAAATGAAATCAATTACAAGATCAGATACTATCAAACTCTAATGAAAAATATGCAAGACTTAAACACACACACCCCATTATTTAAATAAATTAATTTCAATAAATGGTGGGATATACCATGCTCAGGGATTAGAAAATTCAACATTATGGGGCGCCTGGGTGGCTCAGTTGGTTAAGCAACTGCCTTCGGCTCAGGTCATGATCCTGGAGTCCTGGGATCATGTCCCGCATCGGGCTCCAGTCCCGCATCGGGCTCCCTGCTCGGCAGGGAGTCTGCTTCTCCCTCTGACCCTCCTCCCTCTCATGCTGTCTCTCATTCTCTCTCTCTCAAATAAATAAATAAAATCTTTAAAAAAAAAAAAAAGAAAGAAAGAAAATTCAACATTGTAAAGATGTCAATTCTTCCCAAATTTTGATTCATAGACTCCATGGAACTTGATAAAATGATTCTAACACATATGTGGAAATGTAAAGAGCCAATCTATCCATTACAATGGTGAGGAAAGAAAACAAAAGTGACAGAATTTGTCTACTGAATATCAAAACTTACTATAAAGTAATTAAGAGAGCGATAATATGGGTGGCAAGTTTAGACATAGAGACCAATAAACAGAAGAGAGATTCCAGAAAGAAAAAAAATTCATACATATATGGGAACCTGATTTGTTGCCAAGGTGGCAATGAAGAGCGGTGAGGTATAGACAGTCTTTACAACAAATGAGACTTAGTCAATTGGATGTTTTTTAAAAATAGAAATTAAAACTACCCCCTACCTCACACCCTACAAAAAAAAATCGATTCCTAGTAAACCGTAGATGTAAATGTGTGAGGTAAAACAATAAAAGTTTCTGACATTAATATAAGAAAGTATCTTCATCATCTTGGAGTTAATAAAGGTTTCTTCAACAGGTACTACTATAAATTAAAGGAATAATAAATTAAATCTTCATTAAAATTAAGAATGTCTGCTCATCAAAAAATATGTGACCCAGTGAAAGGCAAACCACAAAGTGGGAGAGGGAATTTCCACATACAGAATAAAGGGATCATATCCAGAATACAGAAATAATTCCTACAAATAAGAAAAGTAGATCAGAAACTTGAACAGGGAATTTACCCCCAAAAAAGGATAGTCAAATGGCCAACATTCAAGAGGTATCACTCCACCAGAATGACTAAGATGAAAGACTGACCATACTAAGTGGTAGAAGGCATGTCAAGAAACTGGAACTCACACTACTGAGGAAGTGTAAATTGATGAACACACTCAGGAAAACTGTTGGGCAGTGTTTACTAAACTTCACATCTGCATACCACTAATAAGTATGTATCCAACACAAATGTGTCCACATGTGCAGCAAAAAACATGTACAAGAATGTTCAGACCAGCACTATTTAAATAACCCCAAACTGGAAACAACCTAAATGGAAGAGTCTCACAAACCTGAGTGAGCAAATAAGTCAAAAATGATTTATGATTCCATCTGAAAGTTCAAAAACAGGTAAAACCATCCTATGGTAATGTCAGCAAGAGCACTGATCTCCAGGAAGAGGAAGGACTGTAACTAGGAATAGGGGGTGGGGCTCTCTGGGGGAGCTGACAAAATTCTCATTCTTGACCTGGATGGCGTTCTACAAGTGTTCACTTTGTGGGAATTTACCGAGCTACTTCTTTTCTCAAGGCCAGACTTTGATTTTTAAAATTCAACATTTTTAAATTTATACCTTCATCCTAACAAGTCAAGAACTCTACATTCTCATGGTCCCTTAATCTCCACGGTGTTGATATGGTCTAAAATTAATTCTGGATTATGGATATACTTCCTTTTGTCCTCTTTCTTGTCCTAGTCACACTTTACCAAGGTATCTAACCACTCTTACTGCCTAGCTCTTATACTATCTCCTGGGCTTATTTTTTGCTATTTTCTCCAAAAATGTTTACGATGTGGACTTTTGAATGGTAAATCTTAATGTTTTTATTAAGCCCTCACATTTGAATAACAACTTAAATGGATGTAAAACTTTAGGTCCAATACTTCAAAAGGTTTTCTTACAGCCAATATTGCTCTTGAAAAGCCTGAGGTCAATCTGATTCTTGTTCTTTATACAAGAAAAACTTGTATTATTTTTTTTTTACAAGAAAAACTTTTTTTTTTTTCTCATCTGTAATACTCTTAAATTTCAGTATGTGTCTAGATGTGGGTACTTTCTTCTTCTTTGGTACTTTATGGCCCTTTCAATCCTCAAATTTTTTTCTTATCCTGGACCCCTTTTGTTACATGAATGTTGGCCCATCAACTTCTGTCCTTCATCTCACTTAAATCTGCATCCATGGTTTTTTTTTTTCTTCTTCTTTTTTTTCTTTGCTTCTGGGAGAGTTTCTCAATTTTCCAACTCACTAATTTATTCTTCAGCTGTATCTATTCTTTTTTTATTCCATTTATGTTATTTTATTTTTTTTTTAAAGATTTTATTTATTTATTAGAGAGAGAGGATGAGAGGAGAGAGAGAGCACATGAGAGGGGGGAGGGTCAGAGGGAGAAGCAGACTCCCTACCGAGCAGGGAGCCCGATGCAGGACTCGATCCCGGGACTCCAGGATCATGACCTGAGCCGAAGGCAGTCGCTTAACCAACTGAGCCACCCAGGCGCCCCCATTTATGTTATTTTAAATACTATGGTTTTTATATTTCTACTTGGGTCATTATTTCTTCTTATATCACATTGCTACAATCTTCCCTTTATTTCTTTTAATGTTTATTGGCTTAATTTTAGATTCTAATGGTCTTATGTAATGGAGTTTTCTTTTGAACAAGTGGTATCTCTTAGTTACACTTTACTTTGGCCTGTGAACTCACTTCCCTAGTAGTGTGGGCTCTTGAGTGACAGTATGCTCTGGGGAAAGGCTGAGGGCCAGCCCTTTGGGCTATGTTGGGGGTTCAAAGAGAGGCAAAAAGATAAAGCCCTACGGTGGACAGCCCCAACACTACAAAAACCACTGTAAATTATTTCAGTTTGTTATCTACCAAGTAACCCTTCAGATCAGAGCTTCCTCTTCAGACACCATGGAAGAAATAGCGATTTCCTAAGGCACTTCCTAGAGTCTAGGGCCGACACTGCAACCCACCAGTCCTAGGAGTCTAGAGGGGGAGGAGTGAACAAATAATGCACAAGCTAGTCAATCCTTACCTGTTTTCCCCAAATCTTCACCCAAAAAGGCTTTTGTGCTGCCCAGATTTTATCTGTGAGGACACCTGCAGCAGCGGTCTGGTTCACTGTACTAGTACCTGCTGTGAGAAAGCAGGCAAAGGCAACTGGTTTTCTCTAATGAATCTATTCACAGACATTCAGCCAGCCACACCCCCACCAAGAACCACTTCAAAACGGCTCCCATGTCCCCTGGGAGTTTTACCTTTTTTTTTTTTTTCTTTTAATCATTATCTAAACGCACTAAAAGAAACATTCTAATCAAAATATAACAGAATTTACATGGCTTTATTTATACATTACTGGTATTGAAAGCAAACTTTATACAAAAAGCTTTATACATATAAAAAAAAATCCTTGGCTGGGCAAGGCCATTTATGTGTGTGTATACACACAAACACACATACACACACACAAAGTATTTTACATCATTGTAATTATACATATTTACATATACACTATTTAAATTATTTTACAATTTACCAAAATGAGAGGCAATTAGAAAAGCAAATAAAAATGGATGAAACAAACTAATTGTTTAAAATGCTACAAAATTATTTTGAAAAATCTAGAAAAGAAAGCTGTTTCTTTGAAATATCAAAACTAAAGTTTCAATGCCATTTTGTTATTGTTTTTATCTTTAATAACAAGTTCTGTTTAAAAATAAATATCTTGACCAGTAGTGAGCAAATCAGACTGATGACTGGAACAAGCTCAACATGCTGACTTGAGATTAAAGAGTCAGCAAGTAATAGCAAATGTAGATTTTTATGTAGTAATCAAATATGCCATAAAACTGTCCTCTACTTCCCCATCTAAAACATGAGGAATTCCAAGCTTCTGTGTAGTATGCAATATCAATTAAGACTCCAAGGAGTTCAGCAATTTATCTGTAATGTAAGAAAATGCTAAAGTTATGATTCTATTTTTCTGATATGACCCTTTCATCAGGTGTTGTTCTTTAAATGAGTTCATTCAGATATCAGTGTTAAAGAACTAGCTTTTAACAGAATTAGTTTGGTAACCTTATTGCTATATTCTGATTCTGACAAGAATTTAATGTGACCATAGTACTTGGGATGGGAAAAATTAGTTAAGAGACAGCTAGAAATAAAATAACCTACTGTTTTTGCTATCATGCAAGCAAATAAAATTTCAAGTATCAAAACCATTAAGATTTTAGATTTGTAATGGAACTAGTAAGCATAACTTCCAGATACAAATGAGTTCTTTCATGAATGTATATTATCTTCACAAAAGAATGGAAGTCACATTTTAAGATAACATTCAGGTAAAATAAAAACTCAGCTGAAGTTCTTAAAGGTAGTGAAAATTTTAAAGCACAATAAATCTGAAAAATAACCAGGCCATTCGAAAAGTTCTTAAAGAATAAGCTTTTTCCATTTAAATTCTCCATTATTCAATCTTACATTCCAAATTATGTAAATAGGATTTTAACTTCACAGTAAACTGCTAAATATCTTAAGATCTCATTAGCAAATGAGTTGCTTAGAGAAGATACTGAAATTAACAGATTATCTCAACACAGTAATTTACATTGGGTCCAGAAATAGATTTAAAACTCAAAAATATTCAGGACACTTCACATTAAGACCTATGTCCAAATACAGTTTCTATTCAGATTTAATTTAATTTGAACTGAATTTAATTTGAAACTAATTTGAAATTGGGTGTTCTGCAAATAATTATGATTACAAATAAATTGAAAAATAGTGATAGGTTACATATCTTTATAATTTTCCTTATGTAAAAGTCCAAAATATTTAAGCAATATTTAAGCAATTGGTTCAGGTCTTACTGAAAAAAAAACCCTGCTGATAATTATTGCCTTAATAAACCTGTATAGGAATGGCTTAAATAAGCTGAGGAAACATGTCTGTGAATATTATTAATTTAAATTAACATAGTAAATCATGCCATCTATTCAGATGACAGATTTCATGTTTATGAATGATGAATATTCTATATTTTAAAAGTATTTAGTACTAATTAAAATTTGAAAAATATTAAATTACAAAGACTATAGACGTCATTGCCTGTGAAATATATGCTATTCAAGAATGTTTTATTTTTCTTCATCTATAAAAGATTTTTTATTAATCATCAAATGCATTTCCCCTCCACCTTAGACTCATCAGCAATCAGAAGGTTGAGGAGAAATATAATATGGTATGTCAATTATACTTAAAAAGAGAGAGTTGAGGAGAGATGCCATGCTGATCTGAACTGCAGCAGGCTTCACTCTGAGCATGTCCCTGTGGATGAGGTGACCTCAGAATCCTGCATGAGCAATCATCCTCCAACCTGTGATTGAAGCAGGAACTCAACTGGATGTCCTCACCCACTACTCATATCTTCAATGACTACAGGCCATTAACTGCACAGTCACAGTGTCAAACATTTACTTTACTAGTCTCCTGTAGCAGAACCATTAACTACCTGCATTTTGACTTTTCAAAGAGCTTCATTAGCTGCTGGAATCTTTCTGAGACCTGAAAAATTTTAAATGAGTGTTAATTACAAATATCTCAATAATTTTTTTTTATCTGTGATGAATATTTTCATAAAATATCTAAAGATGAGAAAGTTGCCCTCAATAATAAAGACATGAAGTAATGTTTGGAAAAATGAAATATCTTCATACTAAAGGTGATTACGAGTTTAATTTTTTAATACTGAACTTTCTTAAACAAGCAAACATCATTACAGAACAGCTTGAAATCAATTAGGTAAACGGTAAGACAATATGAAAAAAATTAGGATTGTCCCAAACTTCTTCCACAATCACCAAATTTTTATTTTCTTTATTTCCTTAAGTAATCTCTATGCCCAAAGCGAAGCTCAAACTCACAACCTGGAGATTAAGAGTCACATGCTCTACTGACTGAACCAGCCAGGTGCCCCTTACTAAGTTTTTAACAGTCCTACATAAAGAACCATACTGTTAAAGAAGTTAGCTAGTAAATATCTATGTATTTTAAACATGATAAAAATTAAATCTATAGTAGCAACACTTGTAAAACTATAGAGATGTAAAAATTGGGTAGTTACCTGATACGGATTTTTATTCAACTTGGCAGCTAAGTAAGAAAATGTTTTCAATGATGGCCCTCTTTTTTGACACTCCAATAAAATTTCCCGGTCATCATTTCTGAAGAGAGAAAAATGTTATTTAGCCTTTGTAGATTAGAGCCAAAAGGTAAAAAAATTCCACTGCCTTAATGTCTACCAACAGGAGATGACATTTTTATTAAAACCCACAGAAAAAAGAAAAAAATGTATATACCAAAATATGGACAATAATTATCTCTGAGAAGTATTATGGATGATTTTAATCTTTGAGCTCACAGGTATTTCCCAAAATTTTCTACAACAAGCTAATTTATTTTTCTAATGACAAAATTAAAATTTTTTTAAATTCTACTTTTAAAATCAGGGCCCAAACACGCTCATAGTCTTTTATTTTCTTAAGATTTTTATTTATTTATTTATTTGTCAGAGAGAGGGACAGGGAACACAAGCAGGGGGAGCTGCAGGCAGAGGGAGAAGCAGGCTCCCTGCTGAGCAAGGACCCGATGTGGCACTTGGATCCCAGTACTCTGGGACCATGACCTGAGCCGAAGGCAGACGCTTAACCAACTGAGCCAACCCAGGCGTCCCACATGATCATAGTCTTAATAAGCAGAACCAAAAGTAAAATGGAATCCAGATCTTCTCATTCCCAAACCTCTGGTTTTCTACATGGTCTGAACCAGTGTGTGTTGTTATACTCTCTGAGATTCTATTCTGCCATCTGTAAATTACCTGGAATGAAGGCATGGAAGACTGTGGTATTAAACAAAACTGGTCACCAGGCAGTAGCTACAGAGAGCCCCCAGACCTCTGAGCACATCTGGGGCCCGAGGCTAAGAGCATAAGCAAAGGGACAATTTCTGGAGACTTGAGCTAAGCTCAAGGTGACAAGGGAGAGAGGATGTGGGGCTCTCAATAGGCTAGGGAGCAAGGCACTCCAGGTGTTCCCAACACCAGCTGTTCCCCAAATGTGCATGTGCCCAAACTGCACTTTAGAGGCTGGTGGTGTTCTGTGGTAGCTAGTGCTTTTGGTTAAAATCAACAAATCTCTTTTTTAAAAAATAAAATACGATAAAATTAAACTATTAAAATAATATAATAAAATTGGTCACCAATTTCAATATGACTGAGCTTCCCTCATTATGCATGCTAGTTAAGTCTGGGGAGCAATGAAACTCTAGTCCAATGGTTCACAACTGCGCTTACATTTATGTCTGAAATGGGGTCTTTAAATCTACATTTCTTAAAAAGTTCACATAAAAATCAAAAGTACAACCTATTGATGAAACTTTTTTCCCCAAACTCCTAGTTTAGGGGAAAACACAAATTACAAATCCTCACACTTTCTACCCTGTTTCACCACTTGTCATTCTTCCTTTCTAAAATGTGGTTATGGGGGGCACCTGAGTTGCTCAGTCGGCTAAGTATATGCCTCTGGCTCAGGTCATGATCCCAGGGTCCTGGGATGGAGCCCTGCTTCGGGCTCCTTGCTCAGCCTGGAGCCTGCTTCTCCCTCTCCCTGCCACTCCCACTGCTTGTGTGCTCTCTGTCAAATAAATAAAATCTTAAAAAGTAAATAAATAAAATGTGGTTATACTGGGGCACCTGGGTGGTTCCACATTTTGAGCATCTGGCTTGATTTCGGCTCTGGTCATAGTCTCGGGGTCGTGGGATCGAGCCCGGCATCCAGCTCTGCGCTCAATGCAGAGTCTGCTTGTCCCTCTCCCTCTGCTCGTCCCCATACTCATGCTCGCTCTCTTTCAAATAAATAGATAAAATCTCTTTTAAAAAAATAAAATAAAATGTGGTTATACCAGTTCCTCACAAATCAAAGAATTTTTAATTGAAAAAGTGAAGTTAAAAAAAAAACAAAAAACAGGGGGACCCAGGTGGCTCAGTCGGTTAAGCGACCGACTCTTGATCTCAGCTCAGGTCTTGATCTCACGGTCATGAATTTGAGCCCCGAACTGAGCTCCAACTGGGTGTGGAGCCTGCTTTAAAAAAAAAGTGGAAACTTACGTCCATGGTGCTAATGCACATTCCTCCTTAAGAGCCACTGCTCTAGATCATTCTACGCTACAGCTGGACTGTACAATGCATCTTCTACCAACTTTGGCCACTTTGGAAGTAAGTCATCACTTGCCTTATTTTAGGATGGGATAAAACTATGATGACATGACAGAACAGATGTCTGGCCTGTCAAAATTTCCTGGTGATTTAAGTCTCAAGATTCTTACCTTGTCCATAAAACTATAATTTCTCCCTTCTTTTTAATAACATTCTTTGCAGAAAGGCTTATAGGAGAAGTGGCAGATGCTGCTGATGGATCCTTAATCCCTGGGCTTGATGATGAGGGGTCTTTGGTCACTGCAGGGTCCTTTTTCTTACTGGCTTTCTTTTGGTGAGCTTCACCATTCTCACCAGAATCTTGGGTAATTTTCTTGGTCTTTTCCCTACTGCTTAAGTCTGTTTCCTTTCTCTGTTTTTTATGAGAATGATTTAGATCAGAAAGGTTTTTTCTCTTTTTAGGAGCATTATCCAAAGACCCAGGCAACACTGAGCCATCAGAATTTGATGTCGGCTCTGACTTTAAATTATCCTTTTTTACTTCGCATGAACTGGGAGGTTCCGAGGTCAAATCGATATAGGTTTCCTCAACAATGCTTTCCAAAGGCCTATCGGCCATTTGCACCTTTTCTCCCTTACAGTTATCTTCATCTACACATATCACCTGACACTCCAAGCGTTCAACAGCTAAAGCAGGGCAGTTCCCTTCACTTCTACTCTCACTTGAAACATCTTGTGTCAAATCAATAAAAGCACCTACAGTATCAGGCTGCATATTATCTAATATTTGAGCACTCTGATCCAAACTGCCTTCAGAACATCCCAACTGATCAATATTTAAAACTGTTACTTCTATGAATTCCCCCAAGTTTTTGGTCTCAGTGACTGGATCTTTTGTGAGGTCTATATATGTATTTGGAGGATGAGCCTCGACAGAATGTGAAATTTCCTCCATTGGAGGCAACTCTTCAATGCTTACAGGTACTTTTGATTCCCATACTTGATGCAACTTGAAACATTCATCAGTCACTTCATTACTATGACCCACTTTACCTGAAGCATCTTTAAGAAATTCATATATATCGGGAACCTGTGTTTGCATCATACAGTCCTGTTCTTCATGAGCTGATTTACTGCTATCAACATTGTTGTTGGAATTTAATTCCTCTGCAGATTTAAAAACTCCATTCTGACATGAAACATATTCTTTCTCTGCTGCTTTATCAGCTTCCTTTTCCACTCCAGGCAAAGATGCCAATGACTCATCAGCCACCGTATTCTGTTTAAGACTAGGGGAGGTAGATGGTGCTGCACGCCGTATTTTCACAATGAAATGATCATTGGACTTTTCCATTATGACAGCATGCATGGGTAGATTGGGGTGGTACTGAAAGCCTGGAGCAACAGACCGACTTGTCCATGATGAAGAACAACTTGATTTGCTGCTTGAATTATCAGACTCCAGGGCTAAATGAATATCTTGTTCAGATGCATCCTCTTCCTCAAGTAAGGCATCCTCACTAAAATGGGCACTAATAACTTCTTCGGGAGTTGAACTAGACAAAACTTCAGGCTTTAGGAAACTGAGATGACCATCTGACTTCAGAGGTGATGGCACTGTTAAAGAGACTGCTAGATCTTCCAGAAGTATGGAGGAAATGCAGGGCTTGCTCTTTTCTGAACTACATACATTATCTTTACTCAAAGCTATATTCGTGGACACTTCAAACATACAACTTTCATCCAACACATCAGGATGAACTGGCAACGAAAGCCCTGAAGACAGAGAAGGACCTTTCTCGGATGATAATAATGACCAATTATCATCACTAATCATTTTAGGACATGGAGAAACCACCCCTGAAACTAGCTCGTCAGTTGTACAAGCCGGTATAGATTCACACTTAAGACTCTCCAGCAGCTGTTTTTCTGGGGTCTTTAACTCCCACTCACTTTTTTCATTACAATTAACGCTATTATCCAAAAGATCAGAACCCTGTAACAAACTTTTAAATATTTCACCCATCTGGGCATCACTCACTAAATTAAAAGTAAGGCTTGAGGCTTGCTGTTCAGTAAGAATCTCAAAACTGCGTTCTGGCTTCAAAGCTGCATGCTGGGATGTTTGTGCATCCTCCATGGCGTTGCCTTCAATTTTCTCTGGCTTTGGGGTGCTGGGACGGTTTGGTTCCAATGAGTGTTCTTCAGATTGAGAGTTCTTAATATTATCAAAGCAAGTGTTACTTTTTTTAATGTCACGCTTTACTGTGTTAATATTGAAATTATTTTGGTCTTGATGTTTTTCCTCAGATTTTTTACATCCTAGTAAAGACTTACAATTAACAGAATCTTCTGATTTGGGGGATTTCTCTTTCAGCATTTCTTCACTAGAGCAGTCCACATTCTCCTTCTGACCATTTGAATATTGTGCTTTTTCTTTATTTATCTTTTCACGTTTTCCTTCATCACTGTCACTGCCAAAGTTTATGGAATCACAAAACTTTACTAAGATTTTCTTCAGCTTTGCAAACAAATAATCCAGCTGTTCATCTACAAATTTCCACAATTTTTTTTTCATATCTGGTAGCTGTTGTTCAAATAAACGATCCACAATGCCATTCTTCTTAACTTGCTTAAGCTTGGATTCTATAACATCACAGAGATTATTCTGTAAAGTAGTCATTGACTTTGAGATTTTGGATAAGTCAAGGTGTTTAATTAACGATGTAAAACTCAAAACTGCTGACTCGATAATTCTATGAAATTGTATTAATGAAAATTTTACCTTAAATTTCATATAATTTTTCCTTACATGTTTTCTTATCACTCGTAACATGTGCATAATCTCTCGTACAGAAGAGGGTGCAGCAATAATCGGAACTATTTTTTCCAGGCTGGAGGTACTCATTGTCTTGTCTGTCTTCTCTGTTTTTGAAGATCTGCTAGATTCACTTCGTCTTTTATTCCATTTGCTTTTAGTCTGATGGATTTTTATAGAAGATGTTTTTCTACTGTCTTTACCCAAATGTATAGTACTTTTCCTACTTCCTGGGCTAGTTTTTGTGTTCTGTACTTCAGTAGAAGTTTTAGGTGTAACACTTCTTTCAAAACTTTTTTGTGGTTTAGATTTTTCACTGTCACTTATAATTTCTCCTTCTTCTAATTCATCTAAAGATGAGTTCTTATGAGAGTCTGCATCTGTAAATTTGTCAGATTTGCAAACTGGCTTTTGATTTTCCTTATTGAGATCAGATTTGCTTTTGGAAGTAGACTGAGCTGAACTTGGTGGAAATATATCTGTGGAAGAGAAAAGTATATTATAGTCACATGACTAGAGTCTTAATCATTTGGTATTTCCATACTAAATATAATAAAAAGTTAAATACTGAGGCAATTCATTTTTTTTTTTAAGTAGGCTCCACGCTTAGTGTGGAGCCCAGTGCAGGGCTTGAAGTCACAACCCTGAGATCAAGACCTGAGCTAGATCAAGAATCAGATGCTTACTTGACTGAGCCCCTCAGGCACCCCCAATTCATTATTTTAATAGCTTTTTTTAGTAGAACGTTAATGCCTAATACTTAATCATGTCATGTCTTTACTGGTCTCAGTTGGTGCTCAGTGATGATTTAGTTTGGTCACTGGAATAACCATCAACCAATTCTTTGGGTATCTTTACTTCATGTTAGCAGCATCACCTACTCTACACCATTTGAGGATGACTTTTGAACAAAAATCTGAAAACAAGCAAAGAGTATTTGAAACAATCTGTCCTACCACTCCTTTTGTAAAAATAAGAATTATCTAAATTTAGATTAAAGACTCAATGTACATTTCTAATTAACAACGGGGGTCTGAATAATATGTTAATTATGTTATCAAAAAGAAAAAGCACTGGGACATTGGTGCACAGCTCAGTCGGTTAAGCATCTGCCTTCGGCTCAGGTCATGATCCCAGGGTCCTGGGATCATGTCCTGCATCAGGCTCCTTGCTCAGAAAGGAGCTTGCTTCTTCCTCTGCCTGCCACTCCCCCTGCTTGTGCTCAGTCTTTTTTTCTCTCTAATAAATAAATAAAATCTTTAAAAAAAAAAGAGAGAGAAAAGAAAAGGCACTAATTCTTCTTGCTTATGTATTCTGCATTCTCACAAAAAGTTATAGAACATAATATAAACCATTACCTTTATGACTGTTATTACATAATGGAACTTGAGATGGGCTTTCCAATCTAAGAACTTTTGCTACAGGTCTCACTGGACTATTCAGAGGACTGATGGCTTCTGGAATAGGCTTCAGGTGATTAAGGTCAATGCTCAGAACTGAATTCTCATCATCATTATATACTGAGTTTGTTTCACTGATTTCCATTCTGCTGTCCATTAACTCAGTCTGCTGAAGTGAAGATTCTAGTGTCTCTTTAGGTGAACAAGGCTCCAAATGACAAGACTTACTCTCAACCAGTGGTGTATCTACAAGAGAAGGCTCAAATTTGGGGTTACCATCTTCTGAAAGGACTACTGGCAAAATGCCAGTTTCTTCAACTGAAGGCTGCAAAATGCTGTCATTGGATTTAGCTACTTCTGTTGAAAAAGCCTCCTTCATTCCCATACCTTCAGAAACACAAGGATTTAAATCATCTTTTCTTTTGGTATCCAATTCCAAGCCAAAGTTTTGAGAAACATTTGTTTGTAATATGTCCATTACTACAGGAACTGCTGTCCTGGTATCATTAATGGTTTCTTCTATTTCTGTTGATGATGGAAACAAGGATTCTGTTTGTTCCATTTCCACAGGTGCTGAGAAGGAAGTCTCTGTACAACAAATGGGCACATCACAATCCACAGTATTCTCAACAGATTTAACTAACAAACTATTTTCTTCCTCCATTTTCCTTTCTGGATTACTGGTCCTGACTTCAGCTACAGCTGCAAGAGCAACCTTTGGTTCCGACAACTTTGATTCCGTTTTCTCTGTGGTATGTTCATTGACAGAGGAAACACAGGTCACTGTTGTCGCCTGCACCAAGCACTCCAAATCACATATGCCACTGGATTTGGGGATATTGGTTATTTTATGGTGGTTATCCTGAGAAACAGGCTGCTTTTTAGCAGGAGAAAGAGTTAAGTTCAATTTTTCCATAAAACTCAACTTTAAGTCTTTATTTTTTGTTTCATTTGGACCACTGTCAGCTTTAATTACAAGCTCTTTATTATCTGCTCCTTGAGAAACACCACCGTTAGAGACTTCACCTTTATCACTTTTTGGCTCATTCTGTCTCCTTAAATCAGTAGTGGTTTTCTTTGTTTCTCTGTTAGTCTTCTGCAAATGTTCTGTAGGTGTTCTTTTTTCATTTCTTATATGCCTACTTTCTTCTTTGCTTTCTCGTTCTCTTTTCCTCTTATCTTCAGTTCTATGCCGTTCTGCTTTTAAAGGTGTATTTTCCCATTGGTGCACAGCATCAACTTCCTTGGAGTCAATGTGTTTATGAGTTCTACTGGATGAAAGAAAGGATGGACATCTTCCTTCTTGAAAACTATGATTACTTACACCTCTATCTCTTTTACAATCTTCCCTTCCTCTTCTCTCTTCTAGATGGTATTTACTTGAATTATGAGATTTTATTTCATTCTTGGAATGAGGAAGTGATGCTCGTTCAGATCTTCTCCAATGATCCTGGTCTTTTACTACGGATTTAGGTTTTTGATCAGCTTTTCTTTCTTCTTTGTCTTGTGACTTAAGTTCTTTTCTATTTGTATTTTGTGATCTTTCACTTTGTCTTTCTAGTTTTTTGTCACTTTGAGAGTCAACTCGAGTATATGACCTTTCTCTAAAGGTCTCTTTCTCCCAAGAGCTAATGCGTTCATTTTTATAATCCAAATCTGTGTTACTTTTAAACTTTGAATTTTTGCTTTCAGCCTTTGGTTCACCTTTACCATATTTCTCAGGACGTCCTTGTAGCCTTTGACTAGCCTCTATGTTCCTTGGTTCACCATCACAACTAGTATTTAAGTCTTTCCGTATTCTATCGGTTCCTCTGCTATATTGGCTATGTCTAATATCTTTCCTTCCTCTTCTATTATCCTCATTTGAGATACTCTCACCAACCTGATAATGGGAACGTGACCAAATGCCATTGGTGCAGGGTTTTTCGATAGATGGAGACAAATACAAAGTGCTCTTTTTTTCACAATGTGATTTTCCTTCCTTTTCGGGATTTGGCAGTGAAGTGCTATGATGTACATCTTTAGAAACATCACTTTTCACTCTGAGATCAGTCTTTGAACAATCATCCAAATGGGGAGATCTGGATTTAAAATCTTTCATTTTAACTAAATCTGCTGTCCTTGCAGTTTTGTGATTATTGCGAAAATGTGAGAACTCTGACAATCTATTAAGAAATAGAAATTAACAATTAAAACCAAAATTAGTTGCTTTTTAATAATCCAGATTTTAACCACATGCAAAACACTTTAAAATTCAGGGCCCACATACAGACGTGAGTGATGCTTACCAGCTTCCAACTAAATGGGCCTGTTTTCAAAACAAGCAACTCTCTTTCATTTGCTTTGCTCAAAGTCTGGGGGACCTCTCCATTCTATCCCAGCACTTAGCAATGTCTTCCAGACTTCCCTCACCACAGGCAGACAACTCCCAAACTAACCATAGATTCATTTCTTTTAGAACAAGTGACATTATTTTCTTGCCCTCACTCACTCTAGTGCAACTAAAACAGAAGGAAAAGTAAAACATTGCTAGACAACACAGATAATCATAGAGTTCAATGTAGCTCTCTACCCCAATCTTCTGTTTCACATACAATTCCACAGTAAACCAAAGCATCAACAGCCATCTTAAAGTGGCACATACTATGCAAAAAATAAAGAGGAATATAGAGTTGTGATTCTTTCTTAGGGGAATGGCATGTACTTATTGTTTAACAACAACAAAAGCCTAAGTCTTAAGGTTTTATATTAGTGTTTCAGAAAACTGGCAGTTCTCCTGATAATAAAACGTAAACAGCTCATTTTAGTTCTTTGTATACTTTAAAAGTCCATCTTCCTGAACTTCCATAACTTCCCTGAATCTCCATAAATTTATTCCTCATTAGTACTAAATGTGTAGAGAACACCAAAGCTTAAAAGACTCAGGAATAAGGGGAGATTTTTATAAAACAAAAGAGGACATGGGTGACATACAACCTAAAACAATAGCTCTTGTTATGGGCTAAATTGTGCCCCACACCCACTCAAATTCGTATGTTGAAGTCCTAACTCCCAGTATCTCAGTGTGCCTTTATTTGAGGATAGGGTCTTTATAAAGGCAATCGAGTTAAAGAGAGGTCACTAGGGTGGGGCCTAATCCACTATAACTAGAATCCCTATAAAAAAGGGAAATTTGGACACAGAGATATGTGTAGAAGGAAGACAATAGGAAGAGACACAGAAAGAAAGCGACCATTTACAAGCCAGGGAAAGAGGCCTGGAACAGATCCTTCCACCACATAGCTCCCAGAAGGAATCAATCCTGCTAACACCTTGATCTTGGACTTCTAACCTCCAGGACTATGAAACAATAAATTTAAATAACAATATTTATTAAGCTACCCAGTTTGTGGTAGTTTGTTACAGCAGCCTTAGAAACTAATATAGATCTTAACTCAAAAAACAATTAGAAGATACCTTCAACTGGGGGAAAGATGAACATAAAAAGCACTAACCATAAAAGAAAAAAATCTGACAAACTAAACATCACTAAAATTAAAAACTTCTGGGCAACCCTCTTGGGTCCCCTCCCTCCTCAGGAGCTTTGTATTATCACTTTGCTATCACTCCATAAACCTTGCTTTGCTGCCCACCAAAAAAATAAATTAATTAATTAAATTAAATTAAAAACTTCTATTCCTCACAAGGCACAATAGAGTCATAGACAAGCCACAGAATGGCAGATGTTCACAATAAATTTACCCAACCAAGAACTCATATTCGACAAAGGACATATGTGTAATGTATGTCATACTTATCAAACCTATGAACTATTAAACTGTAAGCTCCTAAAAGATAGCTCTAATCCACAGAGCTTGTAATACATATTTAGTATAGCTCCTTACTAGATAAAATGCTACCAAAGGTTTTATTTTAAGGGATACCCAGCTGGCTCAGTCAGAAGAACATGCGACTCTTGATCTCGTGGTCATGAATTTGAGCCCCATGTTGGGTATAGAGATTACTTAAATAAACTTTTTAAAGAAAAGTTTTCTTTTAAAATAAACCTTCACATAATATACTTTCCAAAATCTATACTCTTAAATTTTCACATTATATTTTTTCTATTAAACATGAGGTTTCAAACAAATGGTAAACACTTACCATTAGAATACCAAATATAGGTCACAATTAAAAAGTGAAAATATTTGGCAGAATATTTATTAGATAATGTATAACCACATCAATCAATCTAATGACACAACTCTCATTTATTCACCCAGTTTCTCTTTCCACCCTGTTCAAACATCACACCCCTCCCGTAAAAGATACAAATATGTATAAAATTTCCCCAATATCTCAGGAAGCAATCTTATACTAGTTGGACTGATGGGATTTAGGTTAGTAAACACACACAGCCACCTTCATTTTCTTTTTCTTTTTTTTTTTTTGCCACCTTCATTTTCAAGAGGCCTAAAGTGCTTTATGATGCCATACAGTCCACACTTAAGATTACCTTCTCTCACTCATCAATCATTTATTGACTGTCTGCCATGTGCTAGACTCTGAGCCAGGTGCTTGATAAAATGATGAAGATCCACAGACATGGTCCCTACTCCATGAAGCTTATAGTTCAGTGAAAAGATAGATACTAAACAGACCTGTACCTCTGAAACAAATAATACATAATATGTTAAAAAAAAAAAAAAAGATAGGAAGGGAAAAATTTAGGGAGGGAAATCGGAGGGGGAGACTAACCATGAGAGACTATGGACTCTGAGAAACAAACTGAGGGTTCTAGAGGGGAGGGAGGGGCGTGGGGGGTTGGGTTAGCCTGGTGATGGGTATTAAAGAGGGCACATATTAAATGGCGCACTGGGTGTTATATGCAAACAATGAATCATGGAACACTACAACAAAAACTAATGATGTAATGTATGGTGATTAACATAACATAATAAAATAAAATAAAAAACAAAAAAAAGATAGTTCTAGCCCAGAGAGCATGTAACACAGAGATAACATGGAGATAAGAAAAAGATACTAAACAAGTAATCCCATTAATCATTTTAAAAACTCTTAAGTATACATGAAGCCACAAAAGAGAAATCTGACCTAGTCAGGGATAATAAACTAATACCCCTGTGAAAAGGATGTTTATGCTGAGACCTGAAGATGAGTTGGTTTTTAGCAGGTGGAGAGGAGCCTTCCAGGCAGTGTAAACAGTCTATGCAAAGGCAGATCTCATGATACACTCAAGGAACCAAAAGAATGCCAGAGACATACCAGAGCTATGACACCTAGGACAAAGGTAAATGCTGAAGGCAAGGCCTGAAAAGCAGTTTAGGACCATATTGTGAAGAGTGGGATAACTCTGATAGTGAGATGTTCAGACTCGTGCTTTAAAAAGTGTCCTGTCTGGGGGCACCTGGGTGGCTCAGCAGGTTAAGCATCTGACTCTTAATTTCAGCTCAGGTCATCATCTCAGGGTTGTGAGACTGAGCCCCACGTCAGGCTCCACACCCAGCAGGAAGCATGCTTAAGATTCTCTTCCTCTCCCTTCGCCCCGCCCTCCCATCCTCTTTCCCTATCTAAAAAATAAAATAAAATAAATTTTAAAAAATAAAAAATAAAAAGTGTCCTGTCTGTGGCTTTAATACTGAGAAGAGACAAACCAGAGGCTGGAAAGAGCAAGAATGGATGCAGAGATACCAGCACAGAGACTACTGCTCAGTGAAAGTTGATAGGTAACAACGATGGTAGAAATGGAGAGAAATGAATAATTTGAGAGATTATGAAAACATAAAAATCAACAGGACATGGTAATGAATTTAGATCTGAGGGGTGATTAGAGAGGTAAGTGTCAATGACTTCTAGACACAGTGATTATGTGGCCCAGTTTGCCAAGTAATCTCACTGCAGTTATTAATAGCACTCGCTTCTACTCTCAAAAGGGTCCTGGTGTGGGCAATAAACTAAATGGCCATTCTACACCTAGGTCTCTGGCTTGCACCAGCTGAATAAATGATGGGGAATCCACTGAGCTGGGAAACATGGAAGAGATTTGATCATAAATTCCATTTTGGATGAGGTAATTTTGAAAACTGTACAGATGTGAAGTAGTTATCTCCATATAAATTGAACTGACCTCATATGAGTGAGACTACCTCATACAAAAATACTGATAGAGAAAGGAAAAAACATAGGTTTGAGCTTTGAAGAACTCCAACCTAGCAAAGTATGAAAGAATAAACCTCAAGTTAGGAAGAAAACTAAGAATCATGAAAGCCAAAGCAAGAGTCTATTTCAAGAAAAGAAGGGCAAGTATGTCAAATAGTGTGTGAGGGCAAGTTAAAATCAGAAGTCAAAACTATCTGATAGACTTAATGGCAGTCACCGTTGACCAAAATGACAGCTGTTTTGGTGTACCAGTGGAGGCAGAAATCAGCGTGAAATGTAGTCAAGGGTGAATACAAACAGAAAATGAAGACAGCAAGTTTAGATAACTGCTTTGGAGGTCTGGCTGTGGAAGGCAAGGAGAGAGGGAGAGGGAGAGGGAGAGAGAGAGAGAAAGAGAGGGAGAGAGAGAGAGAGAGAGAGAGAGAGAGAGAAGAAATTCCCTGGAGAATACTGCCCCAACCAAAATTTTAAAGACAGAGAGAACTTTACTAAAATGCACCATTTTCCTATCTTTCCACTCAAAAGTTTAACATATTCCACATATCAACACTCATGTGCTTGATAAACAGATCCACACCCTTCAATTGTACCTTTGGTGAAGATTATTTATTTCTTCATCTTTGCGATTTATTTCCACTCTAGCGGTTTTGATAAGTGCTGAAATATTCTTCTTAAGAGATTGGTTTTCATTTTTTAAGCTGAAATTCTAAACACCATAAAATATATTTAAAATACATACAGAAATAAAGTATATGTCTATAGGATTATTAAACTTACATAATACAGCTAATGATTACTGAATGCTCTAACTACATGCCAGGCATCACACTTTTTATCTTGTGTAATTCTCAAAAAAGTCCTATGAGAAGATTATGCTCATTTACAGCAGAGATTCAAAGATGATTGGCACCAGAGCAAGGCCAGTTCAAGTGAAACTACTTAAAACAGGAATCAAAATGAAAAGGCAATAAAAAGTTCAACAAAGGGACGCCTGGGTGGCTCAGTCAGTTGGGTGTCTGCTTTCGGCTCAGGTCGTGATCCCACGGTCCTGGGATCGAGTCCCACATCGGGCTCCCTGCTCAGTGGGGATCCTGCTTCTCCCTCTGCCTGGCCCTCCCCCTGCTTGTGCTCTCTCTCTCTGGCAAATAAATAAATAAAATCTTTAAAAAAACAAACAAAAAACTTCAATAAAAAGACAAGAAGAAAGTTCTGCCTGGGTCATTGTCTTGAAAATTGAAAATAAAAATAAAACTTTATATTTAACAACTTAGGTTTAACTTGCAACAATGTACTAATTCTTCAGATGAACAAAGAATGAATTTATTAGTATTAACTGGTTCTTTGAGGGAAAGGGAAACAAAGAGAAACAACTTTACAAAAAAAATAAAATAAAAATCAGAACAAGACATGACATTCCTGTATTCTGTAGCATGCTCACAAAAAGTCACTCTTGCAAAAATTGTGAAGGCATCATTTTCCCCCAACAGCCATTCTAAATCTTTGCTCCTCAAACCATTCTCTTTTAAACCAACTGATATCATCTCCACTAATTTTCTATTATTTAACTGTTAATTAGTCTAACAGATCTTTATGTCAATGTCATTTAACAAATCAATCCATTTTCTTATATCAATTTCCTTGACACAGGAAATAATGCATGTTTTGCCAGATGTGCTATTTCATTTAACACTAAAAAAAGAGTTTCCTCATAAACTGCCAACACTTTAGCATCTTAATTTCTAACAAAAACAATTTATTACATTTTGACTTACAAATAAGGCAAAAGGCCCTAGGGCCTCAGTAAAGTTTCTCTTTCATTGACTGGCAGTAAAAACAAAAAGGCAAAACCATTCACTGTAATCCTACCTGTGTCTGTATTTCCTTAAACTTTTTCATCAGCTCTTTCATTTGCAGCTGACATTTACCATATTCTACTTGCAACTGTAAGATATAAAAAGATTAACTTAAGCATCGTTCTAAATTATTTTCTTAGCTTAAGTGACACTTCAGAATATTTTAAAATTTAGAAAATCAATCCACTAAGAAGGAGAGACAAGGTCTATCTCTACCAACAGATATTTAGTAAAATTACTAGTTCTAAATATTGTCCCAACCAAAACTTACTCTGTTTAGTTTCACATTCAATCCAGACCTTAAAATTCAAGGTAGAAAGAAATTTGTCTGAATTAAGTCTTGGGACATTTTAAAACTTAGTACAAATCATGAAAAGATAAAATGTTTTATCATACTGATTGCCTATTGAGGTTTTATATATTCAGACACTTAAATTTAATCAAGCAAAATTATAACTAAATTTAGACAAGCATTCAGAAAAAACTGTTTTAAAAAGCAGATCTGAAGGCAGAGACTAACTTAAATATTCTTTTAGACTAAGAGCTACATCTTAAACACAGAATGTTTAATAGTAAGCTGATGTCTGAACTTCAGAAGCTACAAAAGGTAAAATAACTCCTTAATTCTGGCAAACCATACATCATTATATGTTGCCTCCTTTGCAGTTCCTTCTTCAGTCAGGATTTCTTCATATAAATCCAAACAATTTCGGGATGGCACACACAATTTGGAAGCATTGTCTAAAACAAACAAACAAAAAGCTCTTAAATTAAAACATGTACTTTCTGATTAAATCCTATCAAAATTCCAATGTCATTTTTCACAGAAATAGAAACAACAATCCTACAATTCATATGAAACCACAAAAAACAGCAAACAGACAAAGCTATCTTGAAAAAGAGACCAAAGCTGGAGGCACCACATCTCCTGATTTCAAACTAAAATACAAAGCTATAGTAATCAAAACTGTATGCTACTGGCATAAAAACAGACCACAGATCAGTGAAACAGAATAGGGAGCCCAGAAACATATATGGTCAATTAATTTACGACAGAGGAGCCAATAATATACAATGTGGAATGGAAAAGCTCTTTCAATAAATGGTGTTAGGAAAACTGAACCCCAACTTACTCCATATACAAAAATCAACTCAAAATGGATTAAAGACTTAAATGTGAGACCCAAAACTATAAACTCTCAGGAGAAAAAAAAAACAAGGGTAAGCTTCTAGATATTAGTCTTGGCAAAGATTTTCTGAATCTGACACCAAAAGCAAGGGAAACAAAAGCAAAAATACACAAGTAGGACATCAAATTAAAAATCTTTAGCACAGGGGTGCCTGGGTGGCTCAGTCGATTAAGTGTCCAACTCTTGATTTTGGGTCAGGTCATAATCTCAGGGTTGTGTGATCAAGCCCTCTCCCTATGCTGCTCAGGTTCTCTCTTTCTCTCTCCCCCCAAAATTAATTAATTAATTAATAAAAATAAACTTCGGCACAGCAAAGGAAACCATCAACAAAATGAAAACGCAACTCACAGAATAGGAGACAATATTTGCAAAGTATGTATCTGAAAGGAGGTTAATATCCAAAACATATAAAGAACTCATACCACTCAATAGCCAAAAAAAAAAAACCTGATGGAAAAATGGGCAGAGAAACTGAACAGACATTTTTCCAAAGACAGACAAATGGCCAACAGGAACACGAAAATGTGCTCCACATGACTAATTACCAGGGAAATGCAAATCAAAACCACAATGAGATATTGCTTTACACCTGTTAGAATGGCTATCATCAAAAAGACAAGAGATAAAAAGGTTAAAAGAGATAAAAATAGTATTTTAATAACTTTGTATAGTGACAAATGGTAACTACACTTACCATGACCACTGCCTCTAAGGTATAGAACTGTCAAATCACTATGTTGTATACTTGAAACTAATATAAGTCTATATGTCAAGTATACTTCAATAAAATAAATGAATAAATAAAAAATAAAAAGCACTTGCCCCACTTAGCACGTAAACGTCCAGTAAAGGTTGCTGTTTGTATCAGAGACCTCCCCTTAAAAAAACAACCACCACCACAAGACGAGTGTTGGCAAAGCCATGGAGAAAATGGAACCCTTGTGCACAGTTGGCAGGAATATAAACTGGTGCAGTACTATGGAAAACACTGTGGAGGTTCCTCAAAAACTTAAAAATAGAACCATGATATGATTCAGCAATCCCACCTCTGGATATTTATCCAAAGGATATAAAAACAGGATCTCAAAGAGATTGCACACCCATGTTCACTGGAGCATTAATCACAATAGCCAAGGTATGGAAAGAACCTAAGTGTTCATTAACAGAAGGTTAAAGATGATGTGGTGTATATATACGTGTGTGTGTGTGTGTTTGTGTCTACATATACACACACTCAATGGAATATTATTCAGCCGTGAGAAAGAAGGACATCCTGCCATTTGCAACAATATGGATGGACCTTGAGGACATTATGCTAAATGAAATAAATCAGAGAAAGACAAATATGGTATGATATCAACTTCCATGTGAAATCTAAAAATGCCAAATACATAGAAAGAGAGACTAGAATGGTGGTTACCAGGGGCTGGGGTGGGGGGTTGGGGAAGAGATGTTGATCAAAGAGTATAAACTTCCAGCTATAAGATGAGTGAGTAAGTTCTGGGGATCTAAAATACAGCATAGTGATTATAGTTAATCATACTGTATTACATACTTAAAAGTTGCTAAGAGAATAGATCTTAAATGTTCTCACCACAAAAAAGAGATGATAATTATGTGATAGGATTGATGCAGGTGTTAGCTTAGGCTAAAGTGGTAATCATTTTGCAACATATATGTGTATCAAATCAATACTTACATACCTTAAGCTTATACAATGTTAAGTGTCAACTATATCTCAATAAAGCTGGGAAAAAAAGAAAATATATGTGCTAAATTTTTTGATGTTGTGTCTACTTCAACTCAAAGGGCAATACATTTCTCCATCTGCATTTCATCCAAATCTATACTGACTGGTTGCAAAACCAATTTACCTAAAATGCTTATGTCAACAAATCAGATGTGAGGATCATATCTGCTCAAAGCTTTGAAATATTTGATTATGGAAAAGGTTTCTAATTTGGTTAGGTCATTCATCTCTCTGCATATCACACTCTTACTGATACATCTGAAAACATTTATAGCAACTACCCTTTTCAAAAGTTCTAATATCATGTAAGCCGTGACAGTGTGAGTAGTAATATATGTATAGATACCAACAGCTGCATTTTAATGGTACAAAATATATCTGCTCAAGGTCCAGTTAAATCTGAGACATAGATGATAGAAAACCTGAGTGTTAGTTTTACTGATCAAACTTTAGTCAAGAAAATAAAATCATTTCAAGAATGGTCAAATTGTTCAGGAACTATGCATTACTCCGAGAACTGGTAACAACAAAATACTTCCACTGGATTGACCAAATAAAATAAAACTCTTTTATTTTAGAATTTACATACCAGAAACAGCACTGTCCAACCCAGCATATATGTCCAAAGAACCTTCATCATTATTTTTAAGAGGAGAAGCTGCAAGAAAATGAAAGACTCTTTAAAACTGATTTTATGCACTTAGTGAAGTTTTTCTATTCCTACTCTGAAGAGCCAGGAAAAGGAGACTTTATTAGCCGTATACCATAAAAGACAATTGTTTATAAGTTTTTATACATCCTTATAAACAGAAAGATCTCAGTACACAGATTTATGACTCAGTATCTAAGATTTAAGCTTAAAAACTCACTTTCAAAAAGAAACTTTTGAGAAGGTTCCAAGTCCAATAATAGCAGAGTAGTTCTATGAGACCAATCCTCCTGCTGTTAACAACTATAAACTCCAAGCAAACTATTAAAAGCTATCTACAGTCAAATGCTCTACCACTAGACTATTATTGCAGTGATCATTTCCCATTATATACAAATACCGAATCATTATGTCATACACCTAAACTAATAGAAAGTTGTATGTATAATTATACCTCAATTTGAAGAAAAAAAAAAGGGTGATCTAAAAAACTAAAAAGCAACCCAAAGCAGGCAAAAACTGAAGGGGAGACAATACCTGAAAAAGAAAACAGTTTTATATGCGTTCCCTATCCTCCTTTTATTACAAATTTTTTGTAGAAGGTTAGGCCCTACTTGCAGCCAACAATGGGCAGTAAAAACTCAGATGGAAACCTCTAGTCCTAATAGCTTGAAGCACAAGACAAAGAATTTGGGAGTGGTAATAGCAACTAGAAACTAAGAAAGAAAATCCAGAAAGCCACAGAGAGTATTCCCCAAATTGTGCCCAAATCTCCAAGTGATCCCCAAAGTACATAAGTAAAGGTTAGAACTCCAAAATGTCCACCTAAAGTTAAAATATCTTAAGAGTTTTCAGCTGCTATCCACCACAAGTAAGACAGAAATTTAAGTTCAGCCAAGTTAAATACTTGCTAAGAGTAAAAACAACATTCTTCAGAGCAATATAGCATAATCCAATGTTTCTAGAACATAACAGAATTCACAATGTCCAGAATGCAATCCAAAATTACTACATAGCAAATCTTGTCAGAGAAATATAAATCATTAAAACAAAGAATGTGGGGCACCTGGCTGGCTCAGTCGGAGGAGCGTGCAACTCTTGATCTCAGGGTCATAAGTTCGAGCCCCACACTGGGTATAGAGATTACTAAAAAAAAAATAATAAGCTAAAAAAAAACAACAAAGAATGAAAATCCTAAAACTGAAAACTACAATTTCTAATTTTAAAAAATTCACTGAATGTGCTTGACAGTAGAGCCAGTGAACTTGCAAGACAGATCAATAAAAATTACCCAATCTGAAGAACAGAGAGAAAAAAGATTTAAAACAAAATCAAACAAATGAACAAACAACAATAAAAGTCTTAGTAACCTATAGGATAATGTCAAAAGTTCTCACATACTATATATCTGGAGTCCCAGAAGAAAAGACAGAATGGGGAGGAAAAATTATTCTAGAAGAATACTAAAGGATACTAGAAGGACTAGAAATGATAAATAATTGAGTAAATACAAAAGACTAATTTTTCTTAATTATTTTAATTCTTCTTAATTTTTTTGAAGATACACAGAATGGTTTAAAGTAAAAATTACAGGGGTGCCTGGGTGGCTCAGTCATTAAGCGTCTGCCTTCGGCTCAGGTCATGATCCCGGGGTCCTGGGATTGAGCCCCACATTGGGCTCCCTGCTCCATGGGAAGCCTGCTTCTCCCCCTCCCACTCCCCTTGCTTGTGTTCCTGCTCTCGCTATCTCTCTCTCAAGTAGATAAATAAAATCTTTAAAAAAAAATAAAGTAAAAATTACAGCTTTGTTTCATGAGGTTTATGACATCTTTAACATAAAAGGATGAATGGAGGTTAAAGACAACGATATATACAAGATTCTACATCTTAGGTGAAAAGGTACAATACTAGGAAGCAGACTACAACACGTTAAAGAAGTATACTGCAATCTCTTGAGCAACCACTAAAAAATAATGCAAAGAGGTGTAGTCCATAAAGCTAATATATAAATTAGAATGGAATTCCAAGGGGCACCTGGGTGGCTCATTTGGTTAAGTAACTACCTTCGGCTCAGGTCATGATCCCAGAGTCCTGGGATCAAGTCCCACAACAGGCTCCTAGCTCGGCGGGGAGCCTGCTTCTCCCTCTGATCCTCTCCCCTCTCATGCTGTCTCTCACTCTTTCTCTCTCTCTCTCTCAAATAAATAAACAAATAAATAAAATCTTAAAAAAAAAAATCTTAAAAAAAAAAGAATGGAATTCTAAAATATATTAACATTTTAAAGAAGGCAAGAAAATCAGAAAGAAAACTGTGAGAAAAACTAAAATAAAGTATTAAAATGACATTAACTTCCAATCACAATAATAAAGAAAATTGGGGGGTTAACTGATAAAAGAGGAATAAAAACAGCAGATTAAATAAAAGTATTGTATCAATGTTAAATTTACTGAAATTGATAATTATGCTGTTGTTATATTAAAAAACCTAACTTTTTCGGGGCGCCTGGGTGGCTCAGTCGTTAAGCGTCTGCCTTCGGCTCGGGTCATGGTCCTGGGGTCCTGGGATCAAGCCCCACATAGGGCTCCTTGCTCAGCCAGGAGCCTGCTTCTCCCTCTCCCACTCCCCCTGCTTGTGTTCCCTCTCTAGCTGTCTGTCTCTCTCTGTCAAATAAATAAAATCTTTAAGAAAAAAAATTTTTTTTAATTTAAAATAAATAAAAAATAAAAACCTAACTTTTTCTTATGAAATACACCTGAATTATACAAAAAACGTATGCAACTTGAGGGTAACAAACACCTACTTTGTATTTCTTTGGACATGACAATAAGTATCATTATCACTTATACTGGCAAAGTTGTTAATTTCATTAAATTTAAGAGACCTGAAAGCATACAATAAGAAGTTCACATTTACTAAGCATTTCCTATTTGCCAGGCACTTTATTGTATTAATTCACTTATGTGTGAGAGGAAAAAGTTAATGAGTGGTATCAATGAAAATAAATTATTTTATAATTAAATAAATTTATAAAGAGTTAAAATGAGCTCTTACCAGAAAAGACATCAAATAAACTTGTTCCATCACCATTGTCATCATCTGCTGCCATGATCCTATTTCCTTTTGACAGTCGCCATCTAAAGTATTAAATATAAAGATTTTCCACTTAAAATCAACCTCACAATACAGAGAGTAAACCTAGCTTTAAGTTAAAAAGCAACTTCCAAATTTGGACACAATGAATAAATTCACTCTCTATCATCACTTTAAAGAAAGTGCCTAACCTTTTCCAAAACCTTAAACTTGCTTATTATAGTTAAATCATGCTACAAAGGGGCACCTGGGTGGCTCAGTTGGTTAAGCGACTGCCTTCGGCTCAGGTCATGATCCTGGAGTCCCGGGATCGAGTCCCACATCAGGATCCCTGCTCAGCAGGGGGTCTGCTTCTCCCTCTGACCCTCTTCCCTCTTGTGCTCTCTGTCTCTCATTCTCTCTCAAATAAATAAATAAAATCTTAAAAAAAAAAAGTGATGGAAATCATAAGCAATGTCTTATGAGTGTGGTTTATGCAAAAAAGAAGTCAGGGGCACCTGGCTCAATAGATAAAGCATGTGACTTTTGATCTCAGGGTCGTCAGTTCAAGCCTCACGTTGGGCATACAGCTTACTTAAAAAGAAAAAAAAAAAAGTCAGAACTCTAATCACTGGATTCATTCTCAAAGAAAAGGTCACGGTTCTACCACAAGAGATACAATTTATGTTATTCCTTTAAATAAAATTAAAGTATACATCTTTTCTTATTCATTACTCACATTTCCCATTCCAACATTTTTTCCAATTAGCTGATTTGATCAATTGCTATAGCCTGTACGGTAATTACAAAAGGTACAAATGGCATAATTATATCTGGCAACTAATACAACTGACTGTGGGTAAAGCAAAATTCTACTGATGGAGCAGAAACTCAAAGGCTTCCTAACAGTAACCTACTACTAGCTGTAAACTGTCATATGGAGGAGGGAACATCAGTCAATGGGTTTTTTACAGAATGGAGATAATGATTTAGTTAAACAGAGACCAAATAGATCAAAGTTTTCACTGCATATCATTTCACAGTTTTCGTTTTTACCCTGGCAGGTACTGCTTAAAAAAAAAAAAAAAAAAAAAAAAAGACCTACTTGGCCTATTAAGTTAAAACTAAGAAATCAATAGAAGAGAACTAAAAAAGCCTGGATCTTTTGTCCCTCACCAGTCTTAAATTTTTCTACAGTTGCTTATGGAAACATTGTCCACACCTTAATCTCTAGGTCCCTGACCACTGAAAGTATGTTTTTAATTAGTTATAAATTTAATAGAAAGTACTCATTTCTTAAGTCATATCTTCTGTTATATTAAGAGTTCTTCAAAATTATTTCTGAGAATAATATGTACAGTAATATGAAGTAGTCTAATTATGTATGTAATTTCTCACTACATACACATAAAAAGTTAAAGGAACTGTGGCAATTACCATGCCTCTCAATTTCAAATCCACCCTTCTGTGATAATGAAGAATGGCCTTGTAAATATTTCTCCTTTGTAACTGGCTCAGTGTTAAACCTTCTCAGTAGAATGCTGAAGAGACACTGGCAAGGAAGGTTTTTCTTCCTAGTTTCAGTGTGCCTGGCCAGCCAGGCTCCTGCAGAACATCTTTCTCTGGCATCTAGTTCCTGCAGCAGTCTCTCCAGCACCAGGCTCCAACAGGGCACAATTTCTCTACACACCCACCTCCTGTGAGTTTCCATTACAAAAGACTCCTGTAGGACCCAGCTTGCTACTGCCAGGCTCATGGAGAGGGCAGCTTCTCCAACTCTTGGATCCCACAGCACTTGACAGGCAGCAGAATACAGGAGCGTCCCTATGCATCTTTTCTACCAGATTCAAAGCAATGTCACCAGCAGGGCACTTAGCAACTTCTCTACCATTCACTTAGCCCCAGCCATGCACCCTCCAATGAGGGGGAAGACAGCCTTTCCTTGGATGATCTATCTCAACCCTAGAGGATGGCCACTCTTCTCATCTTCTATTCCTACGTTCTTTAGAGTTATCTTTAAATCTCACTAACCAATTTCCAGTTACTCCAACTGTCTGTTAATAATTCTTTATTCCAGGGGCACCTGGCTGGTTCAGTCAGTAAAGCATGTGACTCTTGGTCTCAGGGACATGAGGTCAAGCCCCACAATGGGCATGGAGCCTACTTTAAAAATAATAATAATTCTTTATTGTAAGAATTCTCTTTTCAAATTACTGTGTGGTTTTTGTGGTTTTTGTCTCCTGACTGGACCCTATCTGATACAGATAACAGTCATAATAGAGATTTTAACACACTTTTCTCTGCTGATCAAGCATTTAATTAAAGATATAGGTCTGAATACAAAACTTACAGGTCTGATGTGATTTCGTATCCCTGCAAGCAACAATTCAGACAACTTATATTATGTTCAGGTACATCTATAAGAATTGACTACATATCATGACAGAGCAATTTTCAACAAGTATCACAGAAGTGCTTTTATCAAAACCAACAAAATTCAGGGATGCCTGTCTGGCTCAGTCTATGCAGCGCGCGATTCTTGATTTCAGGATGAGTTCAAGTCCCACGGTGGGCATGGGAGCCCACCTTAAAAAATAAAAACAATAAAATTCGAAGTTAACAATGCACTCTTAAGTTTCCCAGCTCCTTTGGAAATTTGCAAGCATAGGTCAAAGAACAAATATTAACAGAAATGGGAAAATACAGAACTGAATCACAATGAATACACCATAAAGCAAAGTTTGTGGAATATAATCAAAGTAATACTTTTAGAGTAAAATAAGACAAAGTATTAATGAGTTCATCATCCAACTCAAGAAGTTAGAAAAAGGTCCAATAAATGTGTATTGTAGTTTTAAAAAAAGGTCAGAAAAAGAACAAAGTAAGCCCAAAGAAACACATAAAGAACATAAATTAATAAAAAGCAACAACAAGCACTATAAAGATGAATAAAAATAAACGCTAGTTCTTTGAAAAGACAAATTAAATAGGCAAATGCTGGGCCAAACTAATCAAGAAAAAGTAGACACAAACATTAGGAATAAGAAAGGAGTGACAGCTTCATATATAGCAGAGATTACATTATTGAAAGAAAGCTCTAAGCAAAATAAATCAGTCAGAGAAAGACAAATACCATATGATTTTACTCACTTGGAATTTAAGAAACAAAACAGATGAACACGGAGGGGGAGAAAAGGAGATAGGCAGAGCCAGACAGGCTCTTAACTATGGAGAACAAACTAGGGGTTGCTGGAGGAGAAGTGGGCAAGGAGGATGGGTTAAATGGGTGATGGGAATTAAGGAGGGCACTTATTGTAGGAGCACTGGGTGTTGTATGTGATGAATCCTTAGACTCTACATCTGAAACTAATGTTATACTGTATGTTAACTAACTGGAATTTAAATGAAAACTTAAAGAAAAAAAATACTACTGAAAGAAAGCTCAATGAAATGGACAGTTTTTTAGAAAAATGTAACTGGCCAAAACTGACTCAAGAAGAAACAGAAAACATGGACATATTTAGGATGATTAGAAAATTTGATACAGCACTTAATCTATTCATAAAGAAACTACCAAGCCCAGAGAGTTTTACAGGTGAACTCTACAATACCTTCAAAGAACAGATAAAACATAATATATTCCAGACAGCAGAAAGGGAAAAAAAGGCTAAGAGACAAATAATTTCATAAAGTTGGGACAGTATAGACATCAAAACTGGGCAAAAGGGCGCCTGGGTGGCTCAGTTGGTTAAGCGACTGCCTTCGGCTCAGGTCATGATCCTGGAGTTCCTGGATCGAGTCCCGCATCGGGCTCCCTGCTCGGCAGGGAGTCTGCTTCTCCCTCTCCCACTCCCCATTTGTGTTCCCTCTCTCGCTGTGTCTTTCTCTGTCAAATAAATAAGTAAAATCTTTAAAAAAAAAAAAAAAAAAAAACTGGGCAAAAATAGGACAAAGTTGGAAAATTATAAGACAGGAAAACTATAGGCCAATTTTCTTATGTGCATAAAAACATTCTTAAAAAAAATTAGCCAAATGCATCCAGCAAGCCATTAAACAAAAAACAAAAACAAGGGCTGCCTGGCTGGCTCAGTCAGAAGAGCAAGAGACTCTTGATCTTAGGGTTATAAGTTTGAGCCCCACATTGGGTATAGAGATTATTTAAAAATAAAATCTGTAGGGGCACCTGAGTGACTCAGTCGGTTAAAAGTTCCTGATTTCAGCTCAGGTCATGATCTCAGGGTTGTAAGATCAAGCCCCGCAGCGGACTCTGTGCTCAGCAGAGTCTGCTTGAGATTCTCTCTCCCTCTCTCTCTGCACCCCCCTCAAATAAATAAATAAATAAAATCTTTAAAAAAAATCACACACACACACTACAGACAAGTGAGCTTTACCCCAAAAATGCAAGAATGGTATAACATTAAAAAGTCAATTAGCATTAGTACTGTCCTCTAGTTAGTAATTTGCTTCCCAGGGGGTTATATGTTAACAGTTCTAATACTATTACACATGTATATTGGAAATGAACAATTTACATAAATGCATGATAGATGTAGGAACTGTATTTTTCACTACTGAAGTGGGAGGTTACAGAAAAAAGAGAACAAGCTAGAACAATCCCTGTGGTAATGGATTAGAGTTGAAGACATCAGGAAGAACCTACATTTAATTTAATACAGATAATGATATAGATAATGATATTTCTAGATATAGAAATATTGGGGCGCCTGGGTGGCTCAGTCGTTAAGTGTCTGCCTTCGGCTCAGGTCATGATCCCAGGGTCCTGGGATCGAGCCCCACATCGGACTTCCTGCTCAGTGGGAAGCCTGCTTCTCCCTCTCTCACTCCCCCTGCTTGTGTTTCCTCTTTCACTGTGTCTCTCTGTCAAACAAATAAATAAAATCTTAAAAAAAAAATTGATATATATATGTATATATACACACACACACATTCGTTAACAGACACCCGTATATTTCTTTGCTCTATCAGCTGAGAGGGCCTAAAAAACAACATCCCAATAGCAGTAAGCACACCTAAGTATTCACATCTTGGCTTCTAATACTATTCT